TTTGGCTGGGACAACTTGGTCTTGAGCCAAGGCAGCGGCGGCCACGGTGAAAGCGACAAGGAGTGCGAACTTCATGATGGAAATTGGAAAATGAATGGTCTTTCACATATAGCCAAGTCAATCTAATCGTTTACGTCAGACTGTGATTGCACTATAGCACACCAAATACGGTTAACCAAATGGATGGTTGGGATGCGTACAGCATACGTACATCCAGCTCTTTTCATTAACCCGCTAGGATGGACGAGTCATCCTTGGCGTCGTAAATATCCAACAGCGTGGCCGACATTCTTGCCAGAAAAAAACACTACTGTATCGCACTATCAAATACTACAGTAATGTAGATCCACATTGACAACGTGAAGTAACACTTGCAGTACGGTGGATTGATACACTGCGCGACATACAATCGTACTATACGTAAGCGTGAAGCAGCAGCGACAGTGAAGCTGACAGCGACTGTGACAATTAAACTGCATAAACATAAATCTCCGGTTAATTCAGTTTGGATTATCATTATTAAGACATTCCTCCGCGAGGGCCGACATAAATCTCCGGACATTCATGCCTACCATTTTATAAACTTTAACAAGGTCACTTATACTTTCTATTTCTATACCTGCCCAAGTCTATATGATTTTGTAAAATATACTCGATACTGTCGATGACTGTAACAACGAACATTTACAGTTAATAAGAACATTGTACAGTAGTTCATTGGCCAAGCTACTATTATTAATAGTACAGTATCCAGTATTCCCATCCAAAGCAAGTGTATATTGTATTGTATTGTTCTGTTTATTCAAAACTGGAGAATGAATAATCGATCGACACAACCAAATGAACAAAAGTACTCCTGGAGTACGATGTAGCCAACCAGACAGATTGCAGGGGAAACCATCATCAACGTCACATTAGTGTGCTGCCAAACACTTTTGCACATACCAAAATTCAGTACAAAGAATCGATCGATAGATTTGGCACAGAAGTATACATGTATAGGGTATCGACTCTCTGTGACGTACTAACCAGCTACGTGAATTTAAATTAACAAATCGTGCACCTTTGTACTTACCGTACAGAGAATTGTTGCATTTGTATCCTTACCCAACGGCATAACTCCTCAAAATAAACACAAAAATCACCTCATTGACATGAGTAATCAAAGTTTCACTGTACTTTACCTTGGAACAGACATCTGTTCTGAGATTCCAGACGAAATTGCGTACTCGGAGTACACTTCAAGTTCAAGATCTGTGACAGCTGTTCAGTTCACATCTTTGACGCCTAAGCTTAAGTTACAGAAAGGTTCGGCCTTATACCGGTACTGC